TTTGGAGATTGTATATCTATTATATCTACTCATTTGTGTTTTTGCATCTATATATATATATATGTATATATATATATATATATATATATATATATATATATATATATATATATATATATATATATATATATATATATATATATATATATATATATATATATATATATATATATATATATATATATATAATTATTATTATTTAAAATAAATAGTTACTAATTTATTAATAAAAATATCTTTTATAAATTTAATAATGAATCAAACATTGATAATTCATAAAAATAAAAAATAAAAATCAAACCTCGTATGTCAAAATTAGATTTACGGCACATGTCTTCTATAAATAAACAATTGAATATAATTTTTAAAAGAAAAGAAAAAAACATTGAATATAATTACCTAAATAAACAAATTAAACCTAATAAATGAAATTTATAGAATCAAAAGGAAAAAAAATCAAATACACAAAATGTCAGACGTGAGCTTTGGTCCGGATAGTACTTTTATGTATTATTTTAATATTATCTTCATTTAGCTTTCATGTACAGTAGATGGTATATTTAACTGGTGGATGATTGATTTTACCTGCCAAGCAATAATTTAGCTTTTCCGTTGGAGCATGTTTTTTTGCTTACAAATGCTATATGGATGGATTTTTAGCTGATACCATCCCAAAACATGGATGGTTGGAGATGCTCTTACATGAAACTAGGTAAAACATATTACAAGCTAAAACTGCAAGAAAAATTATTAAAAATTGCGAAACACTTTATTAATTAAAGAAGGGTAAATTACAACCACCCCTCAACTCCTCAATTTAGTGGAATCTTCGAGATTATATGAAATATCATCACTTTTGTACCCGTTTTATCCCATTCAAACACTACATTTTGAAGCAAGATGATCATAATATGTGTTTTTTGGCTCGTATATATCAGATTTTGGTGCATCAGAAACTATATTTTTACACAAAACGAGTATAAATTAGAGCATATTCCATGAAATGTAGATAATTATGTTGAATTTGACACCATAAAGGTGCATGTGTAAGAAAAAATTATAGTTGAGGAGATAGATATAATTATCCAAACATGAGGGGTTTTTTTTCTCGTAAATTGACCATACCTCAGTGGTGTTTGTAATTTACCCATTAAAGAATGATATCCTCGAAGAAATTCAATTACGATGATGTATTTAGTAGAAATTAAAAATAGAGCATATGGAATAAATCTCAATTATAGGTTTGATACTAATAGGTACTTATAGACAATTAATTAGTTAACTAATTAATTTTGCCTTTGAAAAAAGGCAAACGTATTTGACCGTCCAACACTGAACCAAAAAGGCAGCCACTTTAATTCTCGGTACCTTCTAGAATCATCATCAACGCCGTTAATGGCGGCGGTGGTACGCGATTGGACATGGTTTCCCCACGTAGCATGTAAAAGAAACCCTCCTTTTCGCCACGTGTCAATCAGCATCTCCCGCACCGCCATTTAATTCTGCGTGAAACAAACGTAAAAATTAGTTCCAAAATTGCAAGTCGCAGATTTCGCTTTCACACACTATCGCATAATTAATCTCTTTCTATATATTCGTTGTATTTCACCACTAACCACATGACCCATTTCTCGACCCGTTTTCTGATTAGCAGATATCTGACCCGACCCAGAAGCTTTTCGTCGTTTCTGAAGAGAACCCATTTCAATTCGCCGCCTGTTGCCTCGGATTCTTCGCTTTTGATCAAAGCTAGGGTTTTGCATTCCAGGGCTGAAATTAGTTCAACAAAATCTCTGTTTTTGGGTTTAAATTTGAGAGGAGATCGTACAATGGCAAGCCAGTCATCCCAACCTCAATCTGTTCATGATTTCACTGTTAAGGTATACATAATCCCCTTTTCACCATTTTAGTAGCAGCTCAAAAATTGGGATAATTTTTTTTTTTTGTTTGGTTGCACTTATTGAGGATTCTTGATTTGAGGGTTGGGGGCAGTTAAAAATTTAATTCTGCTTTTGTGAAATTTCGATTTTTTTTTCCTGCCTATGTAGTTTTTTTTTTTTTTTTTTTTTTTTTTTGTGAAATTTTAATTTCAATTGTGAATTATGTACCCTAAAAATGTGTGTGTGTGTGTGTGTGTTTTCACTATGTGTTAATTATTACATGATCATCTATTTTATATTGTTTTTACTCTATTTGAACTAGTTGATTTTTTCAATACACGATATCTCGAATTCGTCCATTGCAAAGCCTTCAGTTCAAACAGGCCCCAATGGACGAATTCGAGATATCGTGTATTAAAAAAAATCAACTAGTTCAAATAGAGTAAAAAAAAATGTAAAATTGATGTGTAGAATGAATCGGTCCAAACAAGTTCAATGGATTTGTTATGATGGATTTGAAACCCTTTCGTCTGAAAATAACTTCAAATGTTTTCTTTTAACAATAGAATTGTGCTTTTACATCAACTAGGACGAAACACGATACGCAGCAAATGCTCCAAAACATAAGTTTTCCTTTTCTTTCCCTTACGTGTGCTTTTCAGTCGAGTACGTCAGTTCTCGTTAAACATTTTTTCATTTTAATTTTATTTGAATGCAGGATGCTAGAGGGAATGATGTCGATCTGAGTACGTACAAGGGAAAAGTACTTCTAATCGTCAATGTTGCGTCACAATGGTATGTATTCGCTTTTATTACACTTCGTTTTCTTCCTTGTAGATAAACTCTTGAGCGCTTACATCCGTATATATGACAACTTAAATGATTATATGCTAAAATGAACAATCTTTGAGATTGAACAATTTTATCTCTCGGGATCGTAGGATTTAGGTCCCACTCGAGAGCGCAGCATACTAATTTGTGCATAAAGATATATAACTATACGTACTTTACGTTAATTTGTATTTCTCTCTGTTTGTTATTTGTATAGTTCGGTGGTTTATAGACGAAGAACCTCCTTTTATGTAAGGCATGTTTAGGATCTCTGAATTTCTATTCGCGAAACCTTTGTGGGGAATTTAGTCTGTTGCTCGTTCGATTAAATTTATTCTTTTGCGGTTCGATTTCGAAAAAGATTTGTTTAATTCTTTTTTTGGTGGAAATTATTGAAGTCATTGTTGGCTACATGTACATTATGTGAAATTCTATTTTCCATAATCTTGAATACAATAATTGATTTTACCTTTTTTCCCGTGCGACAGTGGCCTGACCAATTCAAATTACACTGAGTTGGCGAAATTATACGGCAAATACAAGGATCAAGGTTTGATTTTTTTCCCCGCAATTTTATTATTTTGAACCATTCTTTTAGTGAAGGGGTTATTTTTGTTTTTAGCCTAGTAAAATCTGATTTTTCTTTCTTGATTCTTCGCGCGAGGGTTTGAAATAAATATTTTATATTTCTAGTTTTTGATAATTCGAGTATACGATTGCCCTTACTATTTTGCGTGATGTTCAGGTTTGGAGATATTGGCATTCCCCTGCAATCAATTCGGCGCACAAGAGCCTGGTAGTAATGAAGAAATTCAAGAATTTGCTTGCACTCGCTTCAAGGCAGAGTACCCCATATTCGATAAGGTACATTTACGATACATATCACATTCATCTATTATTATTTTTTCTTTTTGTCTTATGTGAACTTTTTTTTTTAGGTTGAGGTGAATGGTTCGAATGCTACTCCACTATACAAGTACCTGAAGTCGGTGAAAGGTGGGCTTTTTGGGGACGGTATAAAATGGAACTTCTCGAAATTTCTTGTCAATAAAGAGGGCCGTGTTGTTGACCGTTATGCCCCCACAACTTCTCCTCTCAGCATAGAGGTATATATATATCAGCCAAACACTATTAGTATGTATATATATATATATTGAAATGATATATTAAAGATGTATAATAAATACCGTTCGTGTTTCTGCAGAAGGATATAAAGAAGCTTCTAGAGAAAGCCTGAGCTCTGCATTGGTCGATAGCTGGAAATAAGAAACCCCATTGAGGAGGATATTTCGGTCTTTTTAAATTATTTTCGAGGGAATAAGCAGCATGTCATGTATTTGCATCTGTTGTGTTTAAGATCTTTGTGCAGGTTTCGGGTGTTGTATATTATTACGGAGTTCTTGTGATTTTCGTTTCGATTTGATCGAGTATGGATGCGAAATTTGGAATTTTAATTTAAAGTCACTTATGATATAAAGTTATTATAGTATTGATAATTTGATGAGATTTTTTTTTTTGGAATTTTCGGAAATTAAAATTGGATTGGAAATTAGATTCTATTATGTATTACAATTTTGTTCCAAGAAACTCGAAAATCTGTACGAACTTTGGAATGAAAAGTATTGTTACGGAAAATTGAAAATATTTAGGTTCTAATATGTATTATAATTTTGTTCCAGGAAATTCGAAGATCTGAAGTTACGAATTTTGGAATGAAAAATATTGTTACACAAAATTGAAAATATTTGGTTCGTGGATAGTAAAATTCGAAAATTTCCTTCCAATTTTCACTTTAGAGTTGGCAAAATAATAAAAGTGAAATTAGTTGGAAAGCCCATAACAAATATTCTCTATAGCTATAAGGACAAACGGATTTTGTCATATTGGTAAAAGTCCTAATGTGCTGGATCTGACGTTAGATCTGGATTCTCTTTAATGAAAATGCTTAGGAAAACTAACAGTAACTATGAATAAGTAAAATCTTAGTTAAAATAAACTGAACAACAAATTAAAACAAGAATGCATACATCTCGTAACGCATACACAACTTTCACAGACAACTTATAAAACTTATTTACAGAGCTTAGTTACATTAATGAGCAAAATATTAGAAAAGAATACATGTTTCATATAATTTTGCTATGAAGTTAGACAACTTAGAAAACGTAGTTCCACAACTTAATTAAAATAAATTGAAAGAAAAAACTTAAATCTAAGTACCACCAACATTATCATCTGTCATCACCAAATAGTTCTTCATATTTTTTTCTTTTTGGTTTCCATAATTATTAGGTTACAAGGAAGGGGAATGAGAGTAACCAAAAGTGTGTGCATGCGTGCGTATGTGTGGTTGCGTATGTGTGTGTAGGTGTGTGATTATGTGTGTGTAGAGCTTCGACGATGATAGCGGCAGAGAGCAGGGATGTAGCAGATTTGATGGACTGAATCAGAAATAGACGGATCTGACAGAGTGAAGCAGTATTAAATGAATTTGACGGCATGAAAAATAAAGGACTTCTAGCAAATTGCCAAAATCGGCATTTCCTAATTTGAAAATTGAAAGAGAACTAATGCCGAGAGGTGTTTAGCAGATTGCCTCATAATATAAAGATACTATACAAAAATTAAATTAACCTAAAATTAAATTAAATCATAAAATAAGTGCAAGTAAGATATTTGATTTAAATTAACCTAAAATTAAATTAAATCATAAAATAAGTGCAAGTAAGATATTTGATTTAGGGACTTGCTTTTTACGGTTTGAAAATTGCTATTTACGGTTTATAACAAAAAAAACACTTTATCTTTCTAAAACCCAAAAACTTCCCAAAAAAAATCCAAAAACCCCCCAAAACGCATAAAAGCCCAACTTGGGCGCCCATTCATGCAGTGCACGCCCAAGTTGGGCGTGCAAGCTGCATTTGGGCGCCCGAGTTGGGGGTCCAGTGCAAAAAAAATTTTTTTTTTTTTTTATTGAACGCCCAAGATGGGCGCCCAAGGCGTGTACGAACGCCTAGGAACGGGCGTTCCAACATGTTTTTGCGGAAAAAAAAGCTCTACAAATCGATTTGTAGGGTTTTTAACATGAAATTGGTTTCGTAATCGACCTACCCAATGCATATTACATATAAAAGAGTCGAAATTACCTCAAAAAATCGAAGCCCAACTCTTCTGCAAGCTTGATTTCGAATTTTCGATTTTTATTTTTTATTTTTTCGCTATTTGCAGTTTGGGGAGTTTTTGGATTTTTTTGAGAAGTTTTGAGATTTTTAGAGAGATAAAGTGTTTTTTGTTATAAACCGTAACTAGCAATTTTCAAACCCCAAGAAGCATTTCATTTGATTTAGGGGTTCGTTTGTTCTGATTTCCTCCTTCAACGCGCGTGCCTTTTTCACCTGCATTCATTAATTGAAATGGCATCGCCGCCGTCTGCGTTTGATTTCACAGTCAAGGTCAGTTGCTACTTACCCCCATTTCTGCTTAGCTCGTTCAAATCTCCATTAGTTTTTTTTTTTTTTTTTTTTTTTCTTTTTCGATTCTCATTTGAACAAATCCACTGTTTCTTCAAAAAAAAATTCCGCATAAAATTTCTGCTAATTGTTGCCGTGATTGCTTCAATTGTTGTGGGGATCTGTATTGGGCACCATCGTAAATTTCTATTTCGCAATGAGGAATTTATGTCTTGGGTTTGTGTGTGGCCAAGCTCAAGGCTTTAAGAGAAGAAACCCTAACACATTTCTTTAAGGATATTATTTTTCCCTCAAAATTACATTATAAAATTAAATGAATTATCGGGATGCGTTTATGAGGTGATCTTGTCGCTCGTCATTGAAAACGTAATTGTTCGTTGCTTTCAGGATGCTAATGGGAACGACGTCGATCTTAGCATTTATAGAGGCAAAGTGTTGCTGATTGTCAATGTAGCCTCTAAATGGTAAGTATTTATACTCGTTTCCGTCTTTTGAGTTCGATTCGCTTCTAATTATTTGCAATATTACTAATTTATGACGATGAGTACTTTCACTAAATTGTTCATTGCAATCGGATAACAAAATAGATTACGATCATTATATTCAATATGATTGTTTTAATACGTTTTATGTTTTTTGGTTTATCGTTAATTTCTTTTATCAACTAACTTTTGAATTAATTATTGCAGTGGGATGACCAATTCGAACTACACCGAGCTAAACAAGCTATATGAAACTTATAAAGATCAAGGTATACTTTCTTTATGTCGACTCGTAATTATCTTCGTGCAAGGCAAATATCATTGATTGTTTAACTGAATTTTTACCCTCTGTTTTTATATAATATTCATGTTTTCATTGGTTATTAATAAGATCATGCATTTTATATTCGCTTTTGTGCTTTTCATTTTTAATAATAACAATTGCTTTCCGTTTATGAATTCAATACAGGCCTGGAAATTCTGGCTTTCCCATGCAATCAGTTTGGTGAAGAAGAACCTGGAACCGACAATCAAATTCTTGATTTTGTTTGCACTCGTTTCAAGTCGGAGTTTCCCGTCTTTGGTAAGGTAAAATCAATCCATTAATTATATTATTTTTTAGCTTTTTACTAATTTATTGTACCCCGATATATTCACAACTGCGATTTTTGTATTAGATTGAAGTGAATGGTGATGGTGCTGCGCCACTGTACAAGTTCTTGAAGTTGGGGAAATGGGGAATCTTTGGCGATGAAATTCAGTGGAATTTTGCAAAGTTCTTGGTCGACAAAAACGGACAACCCGTCGATCGATACTATCCCACGACATCACCTCTCACAGTTGAGGTATAATAACACACGTGTAAACGATGTGATTTTCCCATAAATTCCATATAATACATGCACTTGGTATGTATATATATAAAGAATATTGCTATCGATTCTTCGAGAAATAGACTCAACTATTATTGATTTGGCATTTTTTGTGATCTTATTGCAGAGAGATATCAAAAATCTATTGGGGCTATCGTAAATGATGAGAAATCGATGATCTTTGATGCTGGAAAGGTTTCGATCTCTGCAATTTCGAAGAGTTTGGAATTGAATTAAAGAAGTTATACTTATATTTGACAACTTTGTTGTAGTATAATTTGGTTTATTTATAATTTATTTACCATATTTATGATGCATGAATAATTAATTAATTGCGGTGAATCAACGCCGTCCATCGGACCAGAAAACTTCCATCGACCCTCTGTCTTTCTCGGGCACCCCCAACGCCTCCCACACCGCCGGAGAAGCATCCACGATATTATTCCGGCACGGCGGTTGGTAGTCGTGGTCGGAGTCACACCCCGCAGTAGAGTCGCACTCGTCCACCACCTTGGCCGTCGCGCGCCGCCCGTTGCCTTCGATAGTGACGGTCCTGTTGCACCTCCTCAGGTGGTCGAACCACCCCGTGGAGAGCGCCACCACCTTCGACTTGTCGGAGTGGAAGCTGTCGTCGCACTCCGACTTGCCGCCGCCGTCCCCGCCCTTCTCGAAGCTGTTCAGCGTCAGCACCGCCTTGGTCCTCCTCCGCCGCCGCGATGACACCGGCGGTGAGCACTCGTACGTGTCGTAGATCTTGCCCGGTTTGCAGCATTCGGAGTTGTTTTCCTTGTTGCATTTGTCCTTCGGCGGTTTTGTTCCTCGGATTTTGCCGCTGGGTTTGCACTTCTGCGCGTCCGCGGCGGCTACCGACAGAATAATGAGAACGGCGACGATTAATTGTCTCATGAAGAAAGCCATTATTATTATTATTTTTCTTAAATTTAAAAAAAAAATTATTGGAGGATAATTAATTAGTTGATTAATCATTGGTATAAAAAGAATTTATAGAGGTACATAAAATCTGGAAGAAACAAGATGTTTTGTATTTAGATGATATCCAAGAAGCTAGGTGTAGAATCAGACAAAACATAACGATGAATCTTAACCAAGATTCAGTACAATGTATTTTGTGTTTATAATTTGGATTTTATTTAGTGGAGTATACTAAATTATGAACTATATATACTATAACCGGCTGCAATTTCGATAAATTTACTTAGGGTAAATCACAAAAAGGGCCATGACAAGGGTATTTAATTAAAAGAGGGACATCCAACTTTTTTGTCTTTCAAATAAATCCAGTTCATTCAAACTTATTTGCAAATAAGGAAAATCCTTTTATATATACCAAATTTACTCCCAATTCATTGAAACCCAATTCAACTCCAATTTCATGATTTACATCCCAATTTAGCCCAATTTCATTAATTAACCAATTTTAACCCTTATTTCAATTTTGACCCGCCACTACCGGAGACCGCCGGTCAGCCGCCGTTGATCGCCGGTCTCTGGTGTTGACTTTTTTTTGAAAAAAAAAATGTCCCTGATTTTTTTTTCCGGCCGGTCAACTGCCGTTGACCGCCGGGTCTCCGGCGTTGACTTTTTTTTTTTTTTTTATATAATTTTGTTTTTTCTTACAAAAAAATATTTTAACTAATATTACTGTCTTTGCTGCTAAATTACTGTCACCGGCAGTTATTTAACTGTTGGAGACAGTAATTTAACTGTAAATTAATTTTTTTTTCCTTCAAAAATATTTTAATTAATATTACTGTATTCGTTACTAGCCGGCAGTTATTTAACTGTCGGAGACAGTAATTTAACTGTTAATTGATTTTTTTATCCTTAAAAAAAATATTTTTAATTAATATTACTGTATTCGTTGCTAAATTAGTGTCTCCAGTTATTTAACTGTCGGAGACGTAATTTAACTGTTAATTGACTTTTTTATTCTTAAAAAAAATATTTTTGATTAATATTAATGTATTCGTTGCTAAATTACTGTCTCCAGCAATTATTTAACCGTGGGAGACAGTAATTTAACTGTTAATTGACTTTTTTATTTCTAAAAAAAATATTTTTAATTAATATTACTGTATTCGTTGCTAAATTACTGTCTCCAGCAGTTATTTAACTGTCGGAGACAGTAATTTAACTGTTAATTGATTTTTTTTTAAAAATTTTTTTCTTAAAAAAATTATTTTAATTAATATTACTGCTTTGACTGCTAAATTACTGTATCCCACATAATTTAACTGTGTTAGACAATAATATTATAATATTACGATCGGGAAAAATAATAT